CAGGAGGTGTTTCAGATCAGGAAGAGAAAGCGGCACACTCGGAGGAAGATAATTGGAACAAATTGTGTACCATTTCCCCACAAAGTTATGAGCAGTAGAACAATAGAGAGGCGAAGGAAAAAGTAAGGGGACAAAGGGAACATCAGTGCGAATCAAGAAAGCAGAAGAATTAGGAGCCCCAGCAAGGGGGGAGAGAAAGGAATAGCCACGCAAACGACCAGGATGAGCACCAAGCATCGGCTCCTGGAAACAGACACAAAGGGGCAAAAACCGCGAAATCAGAAGTTGGAGTTTGAGGAAATTGGCATAATAACCTCGAACGTTCCATTGAAGAATAGATATCGACGAGAAGAGAAAGGACAACAACAGAGAACAAGGAAGAAACACAGGCGAAAGAGCAATATAACACGTTAAAGAATATCAGGGTCAGCAAAGTCAGGTTAGGGGCCATAGGTAAACTGTGCAAAGACAGAGGGAAGGAAGCGGGAGAACAGACCAGAGGGGGGCGGGCGGGGTCCGGAGGAGGAGGAGGAGGAGGAAGAGGAGGAGACAACGGAGATGAGTAATCAAGGACAGCAGCAGGAAGAGGGGGAGTAGAAATAGGGGAGCACACCTCAGCAAGGGCAGCAACCGAGAGGGAAGCGGGGGCCAAAGAAACCTCCATAGCAGGAACAGGAGGCGCAACTACCGAAATGGCAGGGGAAGGAGCGACAGAGGCAGAAGTAGGGGCCGAGGAAGAAAGCGAAACCTTCTTACCCGCCGGGGAGGAGGAAGGAGAGGAGCCAGGCTTACGCTTCTGATGTAAAGAGACAGGCGACCCAGCAACTACGTACTGGGCAACGGATTCTAGCGTCTCAATAGAAGCCGAACGAGAACACACGCGACGGCTGTTTGGAGAGCGATGGACATCAGCCCACACCGACAGGCGGTGGGGAGAGTCAAGAGATGGAGGGGAAGGAGGAACGGAGGGAGACGAGGAAGAAGACACAGGAGACGAGACAAACCAGGTAGAAAGGAGGGGAACCCCAGACAGAGGAACAGGAAGTGGATCCTTCGGGACAGAACTCAAAGGAACAGAAGAGGGGGCAGTGGGCGTATCAGGGTCCAAGGCCCGGAAACGGTTGTGAGTCTGAGGAAGGTGGGAAGAATGAGGAGAGGAAGAGCGCAACACACGAGCATAAGAGATATTAGCATAAGGCGGGAGCCGGCGAACCTGGCGCCTCGCCTCAGGAAAAGATAAACGCTCCCGGTGCTTCAAGTTGAGGACGGCTGCCTCAAGCTTGTAATGGACACATGCATGGGAGAAGGTAGGATGGGCCTCACTGCAGTTGAGGCAACGAGCTCGGGGAGAAGTACACTCTGACTTAGAGTGACCTTCGCCACCACACAAAGGACAGAGAGAGACAGTCACAGAGCAGCGGAGGGCACCATGCCCAAACCTCCAGCACTTGTTACAGAGCCTAGGAGAAGGAATGTACTCCTCGACAGAGCACCTGGCACCAGCAAGAATTACAGAGGGTGGAAGGGTCCGACCATCAAAGGTAATCTTCACAACCCGATGGGGTTGACGGCGACTACCACGAGGGGGACGAATAAACGTGTCCACCTGGAGAATAGAATGGCCCTGGGCAGCAAGGATATGACGAATATCGTCGTGGCAGTCTCGCAGATCCCGAACACCGGTCGCAACATTGGGCGTAAGGAGAATAGTGCCAACACTGGCGTTCAACTGAACGTTCTTTGAGACCCGAACAGGGGTCTCGCCAAGGCAGGATAAGGCAGCCAAGTGGGAAGCAGCATCCTGAGAAGGAGCAGCAACGACACGTGTACCGGGACGAGTGGGGTTGAAAGTAACAGAGGCATCCACGGAATCAACGAGATGTCGATGGAGGGAGAAATCGTCAGGAGGCGCAGAATCAAGACGGAGGAGATCAAAATATTTGGCCCACGAAGCAGGACCAAACAAAGCTTGATAGGTATCAGAACGGGAAGGAATCGAGCGAAGGCGGTCGCGATGAAGACGGTGGTGAGAACCAGGAACGAGTATGTTAGTGTGAGAAGAGCAGCTGAGAAAAGGTATGAAAATGATATAGCTAATAAAGCCAAGACCGAACCAAAGCTACTACACAGTCACATCAGGAGGAAGACAACAGTGAAGGAACAGATGATGAAACTTAGGGTAGGCGAGGACAGGTACACAGAGAATGACAAAGTTGTGTGTGAAGAACTCAACAAAAAGTTTCAGGAGGTCTTTACAATAGAACAGGGAGAAGTCACGGCGATAGAAGAGGTAGCAGCAAACCAGGTGACCTTGGAAAGGTTCGAAATTACAAGAGATGAGGTCAAGAAGCACCTATTGGAGCTGGATGTGAGAAAAGCTGTTGGGCCGGACGGAATCTCACCATGGGTATTGAAAGAGTGTGCAGGAGCACTTTGCTTGCCACTCTCCATAGTGTATAGTAGGTCACTGGAAACGGGAGACCTACCAGAAATATGGAACACTGCTAATGTAGTACCAATATACAAAAAAGGTGACAGACAAGAGGCACTGAACTACAGGCCAGTGTCCTTAACTTGTATACCATGCAAGGTGATGCAGAAGATTGTGAGAAAAAACCTAGTAACACATCTGGAGAGAAGAGACTTCGTGACAACCCATCAACATGGGTTCAGGGAGGGTAAATCTTGCCTTATAGGCTTGATAGAATTCTACGATCAAGTGACAAAGATTAAGCAAGAAAGAGAAGGATGGGCGGATTGCATTGTTTTGGACTGTCGGAAAGCCTTTGGCACAGTACCCATAAAAGGTTGATGCATAAGCTGGAGAAACAGGCAGGAGTAACTAGTTGGGCACTCCAGTGGATAAGGAACTACCTAAGCAATAGGAAGCAGAGGGTTACAGTGAGGGGTGAGACCTCAGAATGGCGTGGAGTCACCAGTGGAGTCCCACAGGGCTCTGTGCTTGTACCTATCCTGTTTCTGATATACGTAAATGATCTCCCAGAGGGTATAGACTCATTCCTCTCAATGTTTGCTGACGACGCCAAAATTATGAGAAGGATTAAGACAGAGGAGGACAGCTTGAGGTTTCAAGAAGACCTGGACAAGCTGCAGGAATGGTCGAACAAATGGTTGTTAGAGTTTAACCCAAGCAAATGTAATGTAATGAAGATAGGGGTAGGAAACAAGAGACCAGATACAAGGTACCATTTGGGAGATGAAATACTTCAAGAGTCAGAGAGAGAGAAAGATCTGGGGGTTGATATCACGCCAGACCTGTCCCCTGAAGCTCATATCAAGAGGATAACATCAGCAGCATATGCCAGGTTGGCTAACATAAGAACGGCCTTTAGAAGCTTGTGTAAGGAATCTTTCAGAACATTATATACCACATATGTCAGACCAATCCTGGAGTATGCGGCTCTAGCATGGAGTCTATATCTAGTCAAGCATAAGACTAAACTGAAAAAGGTTCAAAGGTTTGCCACTAGACTAGTACCCGAGCTGAGAGGTATGAGCTATGAGGAGAGACTACAAGAATTAAACCTCACTTCGTCGGAAGACAGAAGAATTAGGGGGGAAATGATCACCACATTCAAGATTCTCAATGGAATCGACAGGGTTGATAAAGACAGGCTATTTAAGACAAGGGGCACACGCACTAGGGGACACTGGTGGAAACTGAGTGCCCAAATGAGCCACAGAGATATTAGAAAGAACTTTTTTAGTGTCAGAGTGGTTGACAAATGAAATGCATTAGGAAGTAATGTGGTGGAGGCTGACTTCATACACAGTTACAAGTGTAGATATGATAGAGCCCAAAAGGCTCAGGAACCTGTACACCTGTTGATTGACGGTTGAGAGGCGGGACCAAAGAGCCAGAGCTCAACCCCCGCAAACACAACTAGGTGAGTTCAACAAGGTGAGTACACACACACACACCTGGAAGCTGCCCGTGATAGCCGACTAACTCCCAGGTACCTATTTACTGCTAGGTAACAGGGGCATAGGGTGAAAGAAACTGCTCAGTGTTTCTCGCCGACGCCTGGGATCGAACCCGGGACCATAGGATCACATGTCCAGTGTGCTGTCCGCTCGGCCGGCCGGCCCCCACCACTCCATGTGTATATGCAGCCTATGTATATACACATGTCAGGCTTGTATCATCTTTGGAGACAAAGCCTAGATACTGGCGTTATCCCGGACATACTAAAAACAGCAGAGATAGCACCACTCTATAAAGGAGGAAATAATGCAGAGGCAAACAATTACAGACCGGTAGCACTAACATCACACACAAAAATTTTGAGTGAGTACTAAGAAGTAAGATCACAAAATACATGGAATCACAGCATCCCCATAACCCTGGACAACATGGTTTCAGAATAGGGCGCTCTTGCCTGTCACAGTTGCTGGACCACTATGACATGGCATTAGATGCCATGGAAGACAAACAAAACGCTGCTGTAATTTATACAGATTTCGCAAAAACCTTTGCATGGTATACAAGTTAGGGAAACTGGCCTGTAGTTCAGTGCCTCTTGCCTGTCACCCTTTTTGTATATTGGGACTACGTTAGCTGTCTTCCAGCTTTCCGGTAAGTCTCCTGTTTCCAGTGACCTGTTATACACCACAGAGAGTGGCACACTTAGTGCTTCTGCATCTGTAAATCAACATCATCACCTGTGTGATGTTGAGCAGCTGTGGGTACTTTACTGAGTGATGTGGAGCAGCTGTGGGTACTTCAGTGAGGGAGGAGATGGTCAACACTTCACTGATGATGAGGTCAACACTTCACTGAGGATGAGGTCAACACTTCACTGAGGATGAGGTCAACACTTCACTAAGGATGAGGTCAGAACCTCCGAGAAGGGAAGCAGTTGTCAGCATTTCCAAAAGGAGAGAAAATGGCCGCCACGTGGACACTGACCGAGAAAGTGGTCAGCACTTCACCGAGGCAATGACCAGCACTTCTCTAAAAGTTCAAATATAAACCATTCATGTATCAACATTCAAGGATCAACATTCAAGGATCAACATTCAAGGATCAACATTCAAGGATCAACATTCAAGTATCAACATTCAAGGATCAACATTCAAGGATCAACATACAAGGATCAACATTCAAGGATCAACATTCAAGGATCAACATTCAAGGATCAACATACAAGAATCAACATACAAGGATCAACATTCAAGGATCAACATTCAAGGATCAACATACAAGGATCAACATTCAAGGATCAACATTCAAGGATCAACATACAAGGATCAACATACAAGGATCAACATTCAAGGATCAACATTCAAGGATCAACATTCAAGGATCAACATTCAAGGATCAACATTCAAGGATCAACATTCAAGGATCAACATACAAGGATCAACATACAAGGATCAACATACAAGGATCAACATACAAGGATCAACATACAAGGATCAACATTCAAGGATCAACATTCAAGGATCAACATTCAAGGATCAACATACAAGGATCAACATTCAAGGATCAACATTCAAGGATCAACATACAAGGATCAACCTACAAGGATCAACATAGAAGGATCAACATACAAGGATCAACATACAAGGATCAACATTCAAGGATCAACATACAAGGATCAACATACAAGGATCAACATACAAGGATCAACATTCAAGGATCAACATACAAGGATCAACATACAAGGATCAACATACAAGGATCAACATACAAGGATCAACATACAAGGATCAACATACAAGGATCAACATACAAGGATCACCATACAAGGATCAACATTCAAGGATCAACATACAAGGATCAACATACAAGGATCAACATTCAAGGATCAACATACAAGGATCAACATACAAGGATCAACATACAAGGATCAACATACAAGGATCAACATACAAGGATCAACATTCAAGGATCAACATACAAGGATCAACATACAAGGATCAACATACAAGGATCAACATACAAGGATCAACATACAAGGATCAACATACAAGGATCAACATTCAAGGATCAACATATAAGGATCAACATACAAGGATCAACATACAAGGATCAACATTCAAGGATCAACATACAAGGATCAACATACAAGGATCAACATACAAGGATCAACATACAAGGATCAACAGCTTCAAGTTCAACAAGTAACAATGTAGGACAAAACAAACATTCACCCACAGGGTAATAAACCCATGGAACCGCCTACCCGGCAGAGTGACCAATGCCATGTAAGTCGTTACTGACAAGCCGTCGACTTCCTGTCCCTGACGAGGTCAAACGGTACTGTATTGTCGGAGTGATGCTGGCCAGGCCTTGTGTCAACACTGTGTTCCATGTTATGTACACGTTTACTGGGGGGGGGGGTGGGAGGGAGAGAGATAAGGGGAAGGTGGGAGTGGTAGGGTGGGAGAGGAGATAAAGAGATAAAGAGAGGAAAAGAAAAGTACACAAAAGTGGCGGCAGAAGAGTTAAGTGGGAGGAGTAGAGAGGAGGAGGCAAGGCGGTAGAGAGTGAACAAGACACACACAAGATAAGTAGGGATGGATGAGAAGCGAGAGAAAGAGAAGGAAGTAGTGTGAGGGAGAGAGAAGGATGGAGAGAGCATGATGGACAAGGGACACCCAATATACCAGCAGTCCGTCCTTCTCAGGTTCCCCAACGTCCAGAAACTGTCCTACTAAAGTGCCCTATTCCTAACCTACCACAGGACCCAGCACTACAACACTAACAAATATGAATGCGATAATAACATAATATTTTGGGTATTATATATATGGATCTTAACCTAGTGATGTGAAGGGGATATATAGAGTGGCCAGGCCAAGCCTTCTCTGTCTGTTGTATTCCTTCATAATTTTCTCAAACACCAAAATGTTCGCTATTTTCCTTTCAGTCTTTCCTGTGTGGAAAGTTACACATAAACCCAATTATAACGAATCAGTTTTTTGTTTATATTATTCTTGCCAACACATACATGTATAAATATGTATTGTTACACATGAGGACTTATGCTCATCTGGCCTTGTGGCGCAACGGATAACGCGTCTGACTACGGATCAGAAGATTCCAGGTTCGAATCCTGGCAAGGTCGCTCTTTTAATTTATGTTTATAATTACGAAAAATAAATTCTTTTTTAGCTTTCTACGTTTTTGGAGTTAGATGAAAATTTTACAAAATAGGAAATTCCTATGAAACACATGTTAAGAATTATGTATACACATTTAATTATACGTGTGGGAGGGAGGGGGGGGGTTGAGCTTCGGCTCTTTGGCCCTGCCATTCCTCCTTCACCCAAATGTTGAAGGAGGAAATGTTGAAATGTAATATATATATATATATATATATATATATATATATATATATATATATATATATATATATATATATATATATATATATATATATATATGTGTGTGTATATCACGAAAATAAACACGTGATTAAGAATGTGACAATGTCAGACCACGGAGGAAAAATGAAACAGGAAATTTCCTTAAATACTTTCGTATATTAAATACATCTTCAGAAGGTCCAAAGGTCCCCAGGACCTTCTGAAGATGTATTTAATATACGAAAGTACTTAAGGAAATTTCCTGTTTCATTTTTCCTCCGTGGTCTGACATTGTCATATATATATATATATATATAGACATATATATATATATATATATATATATATATATATATATATATATATATATATATATATATCGTTGAAAAATGACAGAACCTTTTAGATTTATGATTCCGGCACGAATCTTCTCGATATTCCTTATGTTTTTCTTCACTGAAACAGGAAGATTAGAAATTAACTCTGCGAAGTTCATTTTTACTTATTATTTGGGTGTGACGCCTAGTGATGCGTTTCGTAAGGTCTCTCCTCACATTCTCAAAGACAAATTCTTCCGTGTTAACACCTCATTATATATGGAGCTTCACCTTCTGCTCCATTCCTTCACTTTCCCTGCTTGTATAACATTGTCTCTGTTGGGAAAGTCGTGTCTGCTTAAGAATTGCAGTTATTCTTTTCCTTCTTCGGTAGTGTCTCCTGCGGTATGTCTCTAAGTTGGCCCTATTTTTTTCTTAATCTTCCGCTAAGGAATATATTTCAAGCAGACTGTGAAAGCTTCGGCCGTCAGTCAACTGTTCTGTTCCTTGCGCGGGAGTTCTGCTACTTAAGAAGGCTTCCCATTGGATTTTTGCTCTTTCTATGTTTACTTTTCCCAGTCAATCTTCTTGTTGTCAAAGTTTTGTTTAAAGAACAACCATTCCAGCTTCTTCATGTTCCTCTATGACGTATTACGTGTGCTGGTGGAGGCCAGCAACATTTGGGTGAAGGAGGAATGGCAGGGCCAAAGAGCCGAAGCTCAACCCCCCCCCTCCCTCCCACACGTATAATTAAATGTGTATACATAATTCTTAACATGTGTTTCATAGGAATTTCCTATTTTGTAAAATTTTCATCTAACTCCAAAAACGTAGAAAGCTAAAAAAGAATTAATTTTTCGTAATTATAAACAAAAATTAAAAGAGCGACCTTGCCAGGATTCGAACCTGGAATCTTCTGATCCGTAGTCAGACGCGTTATCCGTTGCGCCACAAGGCCAGATGAGCATAAGTCCTCATGTGTAACAATACATATTTATACATGTATGTGTTGGCAAGAATAATATAAACAAAAAAGACTGATTCGTTATAATTGGGTTTATGTATAACTTTCCACACAGGAAAGAATGAAAGGAAAATAGCGAACATTTTGGTGTTTGAGAACATTATGAAGGAATACAACAGACAGAGAAGGCTTGGCCTGGCCACTCTATATGTCCCCTTCACATCACTAGGTTAAGATCCATATATATAATACCCAAAATATTATGTTATTATCGCATTCATATTTGTTAGTGTTGTAGTGCTGGGTCCTGTGGTAGGTTAGGAATAGGGCACTTTAGTAGGACAGTTTCTGGACGTTGGGGAACCTGAGAAGGACGGACTGCTGGTATATTTGGTGTCCCTTGTCCATCATGCTCTCTCCATCCTTCTCTCTCCCTCACACTACATCCTTCTCTTTCTCTCGCTTCTCATCCATCCCTACTTATCTTGTGTGTGTCTTGTTCACTCTCTACCGCCTTGCCTCCTCCTCTCTACTCCTCCCACTTAACTCTTCTGCCGCCACTTTTGTGTACTTTTCTTTTCCTCATATCTCTCTCTTTATCTCCTTCTCTCCCACCCTACCACTCCCACCTTCCCCTTATCTCTCTCCCTCCCCCCCCCCCCCAGTAAACGTGTACATAACATGGAACACAGTGTTGACACAAGGCCTGGCCAGCATCACTCCGACAGTACAAATAATACCGTTTGACCTCGTCAGGGACAGGAAGTCGACGGCTTGTCAGTAACGACTTACATGGCATTGGTCACTCTGTCGGGTAGGCGGTTCCATGGGTTTATTACCCTGTGGGTGAATGTTTGTTTTGTCCTACATTGTTACTTGTTGAACTTGAAGCTGTTGATCCTTGTATGTTGATCCTTGTATGTTGATCCTTGTATGTTGATCCTTGTATGTTGATCCTTGAATGTTGATCCTTGAATGTTGATCCTTGAATGTTGATCCTTGTATGTTGATCCTTGTATGTTGATCCTTGTATGTTTGATCCTTGATCCTTGTATGTTGATCCTTGAATGTTGATCCTTGTATGTTGATCCTTGTATGTTGATCCTTGTATGTTGATCCTTGTATGTTGATCCTTGTATGTTGATCCTTGAATGTTGATCCTTGTATGTTGATCCTTGTATGTTGATCCTTGTATGTTGATCCTTGTATGTTGATCCTTGTATGTTGATCCTTGTATGTTGATCCTTGAATGTTGATCCTTGTATGTTGATCCTTGTATGTTGATCCTTGTATGTTGATCCTTGTATGTTGATCCTTGAATGTTGATCCTTGTATGTTGATCCTTGTATGTTGATCCCTGAATGTTGATCCTTGTATGTTGATCCTTGTATGTTGATCCTTGTATGTTGATCCTTGTATGTTGATCCTTGTATGTTGATCCTTGAATGTTGATCCTTGAATGTTGATCCTTGTATGTTGATCCTTGAATGTTGATCCTTGAATGTTGATCCTTGAATGTTGATCCTTGAATGTTGATCCTTGAATGTTGATCCTTGAATGTTGATCCTTGAATGGTTTATATTTGAACTTTTAGAGAAGTGCTGGTCATTGCCTCGGTGAAGTGCTGACCACTTTCTCGGTCAGTGTCCACGTGGCGGCCATTTTCTCTCCTTTTGGAAGTGCTGACAACTGCTTCCCTTCTCGGAGGTTCTGACCTCATCCTTAGTGAAGTGTTGACCTCATCCTCAGTGAAGTGTTGACCTCATCCTCAGTGAAGTGTTGACCTCATCATCAGTGAAGTGTTGACCATCTCCTCCCTCACTGAAGTACCCACAGCTGCTCCTCATCACTCAGTAAAGTACCCACAGCTGCTCAACATCACACAGGTGATGATGTTGATTTACAGATGCAGAAGCACTTAGTGTGCCACTCTCTGTGGTGTATAACAGGTCACTGGAAACAGGAGACTTACCGGAAAGCTGGAAGACAGCTAACGTAGTCCCAATATACAAAAAGGGTGACAGGCAAGAGGCACTGAACTACAGGCCAGTTTCCCTAACTTGTATACCATGCAAAGGTTTTTGCGAAATCTGTATAAATTACAGCAGCGTTTTGTTTGTCTTCCATGGCATCTAATGCCATGTCATAGTGGTCCAGCAACTGTGACAGGCAAGAGCGCCCTATTCTGAAACCATGTTGTCCAGGGTTACTCGTCCCCTGCTGCGGCTCCATCTCTAGTTGTAACCACTGCGCCTTTTAACCCCTCTCTCTCTGGGGGTTCTCACCACCGTCTTCATCGCGACCGCCTTCCCTCGATTCCTTCCCGTTCTGATACCTATCAAGCTTTGTTTGGTCCCGCTTCGTGGGCCAAATATTTTGATCTCCTCCGTCTTGATTCTGCGTCTCCTGACGATTTCTCCCTCCATCGACATCTCGTTGATTCCGTGGATGCCTCTGTTACTTTCAACCCCACTCGTCTCGGTACACGTGTCGTTGCTGCTCCTTCTCAGGATGCAGCTTCCCGCTTGGCTGCCTTATCCTGCCTTGGCGAGACCCCTGTTCGGGTCTCAAA